GATATAATCTTTATCCAATAATATATGAGATATTTATAATCCAATAAAATATTATGATGAAAGGTCATTATACAACAATATTACCAAAATTAGAAGATTAGATACAATTTGAAATTATGCAAATTATATGAAAATTGTTTAATAATTATAGATAACATGAATTATATAAATACAAATATTAATAATTAATAAAAATCAAGTTCTCAAGTTTTTGGTTTAAGTTCTCCAAGTTTGAATTAAGTTTTTTAGTTTAATTTAGTTTTGTTATTAATTTGATTTTATTATTGTCATCTTTATTTTGTCAAGAAATATTATTCTATCATCATAAATATCATTTAATTATAAAATTCAAAGTAAATTGCTGTGAACACAGTCATTATTATCATTTTAAAATATTTTCATATGCAAAAGTTCAAAATGATAATAGTATTATTACAGATCTGCACAGAATTTTTAATTTTTTTTCTTCACAGATTGTTATCAGATTCAAAGATTTTTGAAAAACTTCAGATCCAAAGATCTATATAGAACTGTGCTCTCTGATATTACCTGATGAAAGTGAATTAAAATCATAAAAATCAAATATTTTTTAAATCTAAATATCTTTTTGAATATCTATTTTCAATATTAACTATCTTATATCAATTTGTAGCTCTAACTCTGATCTATAACTTTATATAGAAGCTTATTAAATATTTACTTAAACTCAAACTGGATTTTTGATTAGATTCAAGTTAGATTCAAAGTTCAAATCAAATCCAAATCAAACTTTTAATTGGGTTTGAATTTTTAAATCAGATTTTTGATTAGATTTGAATTTAATTCAAGTTCAGACTTTTTTCAGAATCTTACTGAATTCTTGATTTCTTGAAACAAATCAATTAAAATCTAATTTTGAACTCAGTTTATGTAAATTACTTAATATCTCTAAATAAAATATATAATAAAAGTTGTTATACAATAATATTTAAAAAGTAAATAATATATATAATTCAAGTAATTTATATTCAACAATTTGTTTCAATTTTTAAAATCTTTAAACTCAATATAGAAACAAAATTTTTAAAATTTGATTAGTAATTTTGTTCTTTATAATAAGCTTTATAAAGTTACTGATCAAATTTTGAAAATTTTGTTTTTACATTGAGTTTAAAGATTTTAAAAATTAAAACAAATTATTAAATATAGATTACTTTAACCATATTTATTTTAGTGATAAACTATAATACTATCAAATATATGTATAATTTTAATAAATTATAATACAAAATAATAAATTTTTCAAATAATTTTTATAAATCAAATATAAATAATTTATTTTTCAAGATCAAAACCAATATAACTTTAAATAAATAAATCTATTTGAATACTAATTAATATATATTATTTTTATATTATTTTAATTATTATTTTAGCTATAATATTAATATTACTTTTATTATATTTTCAATTTTACTTTTATTAGTATTATTATATTGATTTTGTTATAATTATTGTGTTGATTTTGTTATAATTATTTTATTAATTTTATTATAATTATTTTGCTAATTTTGTTATAATTATTATATTTGTTTAACTATAATCAAATCTCTTTATAGTCATACTCATTTATAGTCATTTATATTGAATAACCAAAATTAAAGTTTTTAAAAATGATTTTTGCTGATATTTATAATGAATAATTATAATCTTTATAATTCAGTAAAATACCAGAAGAATTGGTAAACCAAATATTATATAATTTGAATTTGAAAATGATAATAATTGTATTAAAAATATTTTTTGCTTGAAATGTGAATAATTAGCTCTCCAACATTTACAACTTTATTTTTGATTTTATTTTTCATTTTGATAAAGTAATATGATCAAGATAAATTATTATTTCATACTTGATAGTTTGAAAAATGGAATTACATTTCAGAATGTTTATCAAATTTAATTATTTGTTTTTTGGTCTTTTGTTCTATTGCTGGGTTCAATAATAATTATTGTTATATTTTTCCTTGTTTTTGGAAATAGAATATTGTATTATTCCTTATTAGTATGTATTATTGTCAAGTTTTCTTTTTTTGAAAATAGAATATTGTATTTTAAAATGTTGTAATTATGGCATATTGTATTTCTTTACATTATTTTATCGATGCAGGCACAAGATGAAATAACACTATAATGTTGAATGTTCCGATAAAACATTATAATTTTAATGTCATAATTCTGGTCAAGATTGCAAGTATTAAAAAGGTTGAAATGATCGTGATATGTAATCTATTGATAAAGAAAAATATTAGAATGAAAATTTATAAAAAGATTAAGTAATCTTTTATAGATAATGCTGCTTGGTACATGGCAAGAATATTTATTTAATTTTAATACTTATTTTTGATTAATACCATTTTTATTCTTAATCCAATCAATTAATCCTGCTGTATACGGATTTTGTCTCATTATTTCTTTCTCTACGTAAAATTCTGTTCTTTCTCGACTAAAAAAACCAAAAAAGCCACGACCACTATTATCACTATTCTTCGATCTAATTCTTTCCCATGTCACATACTTCAATTTACGTGTTGACTCCTGTAACTCATTTAACGGGACTTTAGTCTCCACAGGTTTGCCTCGCCAATTAAAAGTCTCGAATGTAATTATGGGGTTCCCGTCTTTTGTCAATATTGTTGGATCAAATGGGTTTTGTTTTGCTTTGAAACGAACGTGTCGCGGAATCTCAATGTATAGTCGATTGACGTATGGTGAACTCAATGCGTTCACGACGACAACTGGTACTATCGATGATAAAAAAGCTGTTTTATATTAAATTTAGTTATTAATATTAATTAGTATCGAGAAAAAGAAGAAATACGTCATTATGTATACCCACCCATGGCTAAACTACCATAAACTTCTTTTCCGTGCATTAGCACAATAGGAATCAGAATTGCGCCAGAAACGCTTATAAGTATCGCGTATAGCTTAAAACGCCTCAGATGTTGTGATAAAGGACCAAAATAGACAAGGTCACGGTCGACGGAAAAAGAGCCAGTCAAATTTTGTTGTTGCACTGTTCTCGAACTGAGTTCGCGAAGCTGCATAGAAATATAACCAAAACGCGTCCTCGTTTCTTTCCAACTACACTTTAATAAGTTACAGTTGTTGAATGTACTTTGGAAACTAGGGAAACGAATAGAAAGTCTAACACCATCATATCTGTTAATGGTTGTTATTGTTCGAAATGAGAATTTCGTTGATAATAATGGTTTTCTTATAATTAAGTACATGACTTCTGAATTTTAAAATGGGACGCGAAAAATATCTATTTAGGATCAGAATGACATCATGATTGTGTTTATTATTATGCAACGATTCACTATATTTCTACATGCGAGCAGTAAAAGACTTTCGAAAGTACAGTTTTGTAGTTTTACACGACTGAATTTTTACAAGTTTTCTTCCGAACCAAGTAGCAAATCTTTGTCGCAGTTGCGATACAGGCTCTATTCTGTGCTTCTAGACAAAGACAGCGAAAAGGGAAATACTAGTAACAGTAGCAATATTATAAGAGATAATTCATCGAAACAACCAAGAATGAATATAAAATTGAATGAAGAAGAAGCAAAAGTATGCGAAATACTTAACAATGTAACCGATTCTTTGAAAAAGTCGAGACCTGATCTTAATTTGACCTTGAGAATAGCAGGCGGTTGGGTTCGCGATAAAGTATGAAATTCGATCAATTAGCTCAATCAGATAATCAAATGAAATAATTTCTCAATCACATCGTCTTATTTGCATATTATTGTTTGCTCTGAAATCTATTAGCTCCTTGGATTAGAATGCAATGATTTAGATATCGCCCTAAGCTCCTTAATGGGCTACGAATTCGCTGAAATTGTGAACGATTACTTGCGTGAAAATGGATACCCGACCAGTGGCATCGGTAAAATCGAAACGAATCCCGATCGATCCAAACACTTACAAACGGCTGCGACTAAAATCTTGGGTCTCGAAGTTGATTTTGTTAATTTGAGAAACGAGACGTATCAGGAAGATAGTCGAATTCCTAATGAAATCGTGAGTTGGGTTTCAGAATAGCGAAAAGAAATATGGGTGTTGGCAACATATTTTTTTGCGAGCTTAACAGATCAATAATAGGGATATATGATGCTAGGCGTTTGGTACGCCAGAAGAAGACGCGTTACGTCGTGATATCACTATTAACGCGTTGTTTTATAATATACATACACACCAAGTGGAGGATTTAACTGGGAAGGTAATAATCAAACCAATAATTGTGGTTTGTATTTTTTGTGAGTTTATTTTGTCAGCTTATTATGGTTTTTGCTTTAGGGTTTATCGGATTTAGAATCCGGATTAATTCGTACTCCACTTTCGGCATATCAAACATTCAAAGATGATCCACTTCGTGTTATTCGCTGTATACGATTCGCCAGCCGATTTCATTTTAAAATCGCAGAAGAAATCAGAGAGACAATTAAAAATGAAGAGATACGCGTAAGTAAATAAAGAATAATGTGTTTTTATAGTGATAAACATATTGTTATTCTTATTTTTGACTTTTATTATTTTACTTGTTTAGGCTGCTCTAATGTCAAAGATTAGTAGAGAGCGCGTCGGAATTGAAGTTGACAAGATGATTAAAGGTATTTGATAAAATATAATATAATTTATCTAATTGATTTCTAATTATAATTTATAGATGTGCTTGATTTATATAATTGATTTTTTCCACGATTCAGGACCTGATCCTCCATACTCTTTCGAGCTTATTCACTCTTTAGATCTCTTCAATATTATATTTACTCAGCCACCGGAAGAACTTGTGATTGGTAATATAGAAGATCCTATTAAAGGAGTGAATTCATCAAAAATTATAAGATGGTAAACTTGTATTTACCCATATTCAGATCATCAAAAATCATATACGGCTAAATTGATTTTTTATGACATAACAGGCTCCTTTCAACCACACAAAACAAACTCGATATTTTTCCTCGACCTGCAGAAGAAATCAGGTCACTTTATCTGGCCTCTATTCTCACACCTTACACGAGTATGTTGGTAAAAGATCGTAAGAAAGAAGTTCCCGCTGCTGCTTATGTGATCAGAAATAGTTTAAAAGTAGATCAATATTCTTTTTTTTTTACTTGTAATGAAAAATTTTTAAAGATTATTTTTTTTAATCATTAATTCTGTTCCTGAAAATATATTAGTTGCCTAATCAAGATATTGACACCACAATTAAGCTGTTTGCTCCAATAGAATCTTTACATAACGCAGCACATAAAAACGAAGAGATCTCTTTGGATAGGCCTCACTTAGGTATGTGAAAAATCATTATTTTGTGCACTTGATATTTGACCTGAGTTAATAAATTATTTTAGGGCTCATTATCCGTGAAATCGGTAATAAGTGGCCGATGGCATTAATTTTGAGTGTTGCTATAGAACTTTTGCCAGAATTGGAGAGTATAAAATCTAGAAATCGTAAGCGCAAGTTTTTTTTGGTTGATTTTTTTTTAAATTAAAATAATTATGCTTAAAACCTCTATTGATGTTTAACAGCTAATGAAAATGTTTTACGCGGGATCCAACGATACAATAACTTGATAAAGCGGGTAAATGAATTGGGACTACAAGAATGCTATTCGTTGAAACATATTATCGATGTAAGAAATATAATATTGGTATCGTCACATTTAATATGTTTAATATATATAGTTGGACTTTTTTGCAACAGGGAAACGAAATAAGAAAGCTGCTAAACATAAAACCGGGGCCTCAAGTGAAAGAATACTTGCAGTCGGTGATCGGATGGCAACTTGAACATCCCGACGGAACAAAAGACGAATGTAAACAATACATTAAAGAGAAATTTGGAAAGGAAGATTCATTTTGAATTTTGTAGTTAAGATATTGAAAAATGTCATTTTTTGGCCTATAGTATAGATTTTTCGGTAGGCTCCCCTGATTTCCTCAAATAATAACTATAAATAAGCAGCAATGTCCGCTGAAATGTTCATTTTTTTCGAGGCTATACTTACAATTATTATCTATGTCGCCGTGTTACCAATTGAAATCCATCATCATCAATAATAGGTGACCGCGACTTTGAAGTAGTTTGTGTAGAAGACTCACCATCTTTTTCATTCTCATCAGTCTCCATTTCATCGTTAAATTCTTCGTCATTACTACTATCATCGTCGTCGTCGCGAATTTGTGCTCCCCTCGTTGAATTTCTTTGCCGCAAAAATTTCTCTTGTAATGCATCAATTGTCGCGTAATTGCTTTGTAGGCATTCATTGTATAATTTTACTAAATCTTGTGAGATCTGATAAAATACATTCGGGTTATATTGATTAGACATATAAATTTTGATCCAGTATGAAAAAAAGAATTTTTTTTTTACTTGATATGCAGAATCATCTTCGAGTATCGTGTTAAATTCATCAGACATTACTTGTAATAGAATTGATTCGAGTTCATCTGCGTGTGTTTCTTTACCGTCTATCAAAAAATAATTTACATGTTTAAATCAAAATTGATCCAATTTAAAAGATGACATTTTCTCCAAATATCCTTAGATAATTCCGATTCTATTTTCTACAAGTCCAGTTATCTTTATTTCAAAGACTACGCAACTCTCTTACTTTGTTCGAACTGCTCTACCACCACACCAGCTAACCACGCGCGTTTCTCCTCCGAGTCGACACCACCCCATTGACCTTCGACCGCAAACTTTAACGCAGTCCAGGTATGTAATAGTAGAGCGACGCCGTTAGAAAACTGCGAGCATGAATCATTTGAGGGAAATGCAGACGTTGTTTGAACATTATTGGAGGTAGACATGGTATGATAGCAAGATATGAATTTTTTATTTTTATGATGATCTCATAATTTTTAATTTTGTCATCTGACATAATAATAGCAAATTCTTTCTTCTCATTAAAGATAACTAAATCAATTACAAAATCATTAATCTTCCAAATTCTCAAAAAATGATTTCTTCTTTTTATGATCTGGTTTGATTGTCGCTTCGCCTTCTTTCCAGTTTGCTAAAAAAAAAAACAGTTTTAGTGGCTATTGCTACTGATATGATGATAATTGGAGATATAATCAAAACAAGGTACCTGGACAAACATCACCATATTTCTTGTTGAATTGAATTGCTCTTATTACACGTAGTGCCTCGTCAACTGAACGGCCTTTTTTTGGTATAAAATTGATTATTATTCTTCTTGATAATAGACGTATTTTTGTTTGATTTATGATAAAAGTGAAGGCGAAATAATTGCTGATGCTTTTTGCATACCTATTTCTTCATCGTAAATTTGCATGGCACGAATAAATCCCTATATAGGATATAATAAGTAAATTTTCGAAAAAAGTTAGTATTTTCTTCTTTAAACAAGTAAAAAAAAATAACCACATACCTCATCGTCAATTACGATTAGCCCTCTAAACAAAATCAATAAGAAATGAATTTTTGTTTTTCATTTAGTAAATGAATTACTGATAATCTGTATGTACATCACCTCAACGGATGCGAGTCGGCGTGCAGTACTCCATACGTTGATGCTATCTTTTTGGTAAAGTCGGCGACTGTTTTATATAAATTAGTTTATGAGGTTCTTTACTATCGTATAAAAGGAAAACATATTGTTTTATTTACCTAATGGAAATCTGTTTTTTTTTTTGGGAGGGGCATTGTATTAGGACGTGAGATTATATACAAGGAACAAACAATTCTCAGACTACATATTTAAAATTACTTGATATTTTTCACGCCTCCTTGTTTACGCGGAATTTGACTATGTGACCAATAATTATAGATAAAAATTTGGTTAAATCTATAAATCAATAAAATAAATAAACTAAAATCATCATAAAATACGCACTTCCAATGATAATGCGAATGTATAGAATCACAAGAAATCCCAACCACATCGGCTCCAAGTTTTTCGAATTCATCAATTCGCTCTCTAACAATACAATTCATTAAATTAAATTAATTATGATTTTATTACGTTCATTCTCTTATATGCTCGATTTTTCTTTAGTTTCATAACTTACGAGAATGCAATTAGCTCAGTAGGACACACTAAATGAAAAATTATATGAATAATTATTAAATGCAAAAAACACATTAAAGTTTTATAATATACAAACCAAAAGTAAAATCAAACGGATAGAAAATCATCACCACGTATCGCTTAGCTTGAAGATACGAGTCGAGTGACAGTTCCTCGATTTCACCGTTAACTAGCGCCCTTGCTTCCCAGTTTGGAGCGAGTGCCTTCAATATGGTTGGTTGTTTGTTTGTTGTTTTTATTATTGGATTTTTTTAACCAAAATCAGCTTTTATTATATTTTCTTTACCCGAGCACGTAATATTATATTATATTATCTTATATCATGTTCAATTCAAATATTATATTTTTACCCGTACAGAAGCGGTACCCGCATTTGTACCGCCATTTCGTTTAATCCTCGTAGCAGTAGTAGTAGCAAATGAAGAACGCTGTTCATACTGTTGAAGTTGAACACGTGTACTGCTGCTAGCTAAGGCTGGAAGAGTCCTAGGCGTTACATACTTATTTGCCAAGGAAATGATAGATGATTTTTGGACAGCTCTTGAAGTGGCTCGACATAAAGCAAACATTGCTCAATGTAATTAATATTTGGTTGGGATAGGCTTTTATACAAAAAATTTTGATCGGAAATTATGAGTCATATTCTCATCAATACGCCATTTTTCCCACAAGTAAAAACGTGAGATTTTATATCATTTAGAGCTAATGTCACGCGACGACGCATGCGTTTTTAGAGCTATAACTAATTATATAAAACCATTTGTAGTTTATGAAGAATGAAGAAAAGTCTCTCGAGTTAAACCAATTGAATCGAACCTGCAGAAGTTGAAGACGAAACTACAAAGTAATTTATATCCACATACGAACTGCTTTAAAAAATTATCTTGCTCCTGCTTTGACTCGGAAAGATCTGTTAGTGAGCCAAATAATTAACGATGACTCACCATTAGTGCGAACCATTGCAGAATACTTTCAATGTAAATACTATCGCTATTTCTTGAATACCATGAAAATTATAATGTGTTCTAATTTATTATTAGAAACTTAAACAGAATATGGTACTGCCATTTCTAAACGAAAATTGAAATGTAATAATTTTGTATTAATAGTTGTTGTGCCATCTCTAATTAAACTACAATGAAACTAGTATAAATTATTTGTCACAATGATTTTCACATGTTAAGAAAATAAAAAAATTGCAAAAAATATTTTAAATACATTACAAGTATTATACTTTTCACATTAATCATATTATAAGATATTGAGTGTTTATTATTTTTTTTTACAAAAAAAGCACTTGGAATAATTTTGTATCTGCAATTTAGAAAGCATTCAATAATCTTTTTTATATTTATTAGCTAATAAGTTATTTATTTTTTAGAACTACTTTTTTTGATAAAAAAATAGAAATAAAAGCTTATTTATTTATTTTTAGTAATAAATATCAAGTATAATTGGAAATGATAACAAATCAGTAAGATAACCAAATATCATGTTCATAATAAAGCATGAAAATAAAATTTATAAAAGAAAATAATAAAATAAAATTCTAAAAAGAAATTAATAATGAAATGTATTATACTTGTAAAAAATGTAAATTCAACAAAAATAAATTCAAAATTGTTGAAATTTATTACAAAAAGCAAATTATATTTAAATGTTTTAATTAAAGATATTAATGATATATATTAGTCAGCAAATATATTACATAATCTACAATGTAATACAATTTAAATATGAAAATTTCTCAGTATACAATTTTGATTATTATAATTATTGTGACAGATTAAAACGAAACCAGATTAAAATGAAACCAGATTATAATAAAATCAAATCAAAATAAAATT